ATCTCTCTCCAGTGAGTGGATGAGCTCTCTGGCAAATAAAACAAAAAAACAGAAAACTGTTTTCCAGAGTGACTGTTTCTTGCATTTTTACCAGCAATGTATAAGAGTTCCAGCTGCTCTGGATCTTTGTCAACATTTGATATTGTCAATATTTTATTTTAAATTTTAGCCATTTTAAAAGGTGTTAACACCATTTGGTTTTAATTTGCATTTCCCTAGTTACTAAGATTTGAGCACAAAAAAAGATATAAGAATGACCAAGAAATCAAATGAAGTGTTTAACATCCTTAGCCATCAGAGAAATCCAAATTAAAAATACAGGGCCAGTCACAGTAGCATAATGGTAACCCAATGCCTTGTGATGCTGAGACCACATGGTAAGGTCCTAGGTTTATGCCCTGAGGTCTCCCTATCCATGTTGGGTATGCACATGCCCATGATTCTGGCTAGGTAAGGCTGGGGTGGATCATGGCATGAAGATCTTGTTGGGTGTCTGTGCCTCCTTTTCTCTCTCTCCTTCTCTCTTTCTCTGTCATGGAAGAAAGAACTAAATAAACCTAAAATAAATAACAAAAACACCATGAGATACAATTACATACCAACAAGAGTGGTGGACAATACCAAGTATTAAGAAGATATGAAGATCCTGGAATTTTTATATATTGATAGTGGGAATATAAAGTGGTTCAGATGATTTGGAAATTGTTTTGTCAGTTTCAGCTGAAGTTTTGAGTTAAAAATATGTGTTATCAGGACCATCAGATGGCATAATGGTTATGTCACTGGACTCCCATATGGCTGACCACAGTTCAAGTCTCAGACCTGGCAGCTTAAGACTCATGCCAGGTGCGTGTGACGAGATCCCAAGAGGAGAACGAAGAAGAGGGGATTGTGGCATGACCATCTGCCCTGGGATGATTTCTTGCTTTCTTTCATTTTGTCTCTGTCTCTCCAGTGAGCACACATGCCCTATAGCAAAAATCTCTAAAATAAATAGCAAATATCAGGCACAGAATAAATGCCATGTTCTCAGTGACTCCCACACTAGCCAGTATTGACAGGTATAGGCTTTACTACTATTAAAACTAGTTAAAAACAAAAACAAAAACAAAAAACTAGTTCTCCAAATGGCAACTCAGCAAAAGTATATTTCTCATGCATGTCACAATCTAGTCGTCTGGCAGGTTTCTTTTGTAGCTGTCCTTCAAACAAGAGCCAAGGCCATTCTATTTTATAAAGCTGCCATCTTACAAGAAGTGGCCTCCAAAGAGGAATACCTGTTGGATGAATGTAGGCAAAGCAGAGACTTAACTGAAAGAATTAGAAAATGGAGGAGCCTCTGAATAGAAGGGAGGCCGTACTGTGTAGATGCTCCTCTGGGTTGAAGCTTAGCTGAAAGTCTGTAAATACAGACATGTGTGTGCATGCTCTCACAGACACT